TCGCGACCTAGTTAAGGCTAGAGAGTGATCAGAGAGCATGGGCGCGGAAGACGCAGACGTGGCGCGGGTGCGAGCGGTCGCCCTTCCAGCCGCTTGTTCTATTGAATCACTGGATATAAAGTGAAGTCTCCCATTGTTGATAAAGCAGACAGTACAGATAATTGCTGGAGCTATCTTGACTGTTTGGTCTCTAATGCAAATGAATCTTCAAACGCGACTCGGTTATTGCTCAGCTACTACCTCCGATACCGCGTACAGATCAAAGATTCGATCTTACGTTTTGTGTGGAATCAATATCACGGCCTTGTTTCTCGCAGGACTGGTGTTCCTCGCTAATAAAGCTGCTCTCAAAAGGTGAGAATTTTCAAATTAAAACAATTTCCCATAGATATCAACTTAGGAAATATTCTAATCTGCAATCGTCTTACCAACTTCAAGAAAACATCGACGTAATCTACGTCATCATACCTTTGTCAATAGTCCAATCATTTTGTCATCTGTTGCTTTCTGCTGCTGGTGCTATTCTATTTGCGTACGAAGGCATTGTCTCAGCAATCACTTATCGGATTCTATTGACTGCTACCTACGTAAGTAGCGACAACAAAAGACACTACGTATTCTCTACAATTCAGATCATACCATACTACACTCTAATTGCACCAGTACTTTTGCTTTTGTTATTGAAGTGGTCGTCTAAAAAAAGGACGACTAAGCTTATTGCTGTTACGAATCTACCTGACGAGAATAGTACTTACTTTGCTACATACTCAAAGATGTGGGATGTCACAGTTGATAAATATAAATTCTGATTCATTTGGAGTCAAGCAAGAGTGTGACACGGACGACCAGAAACTATCATGCTTTCAGGTATTGTACGGTGATCCAAAAAAAACGAACAGATTTTCAAAAAATTATTTAGAAGAGCAACTTAGCAAATGGAAAGTAGATAAAACTTTGAATGATTTAATTTAGTAAGTTTAGCATTGCACATCATTCGCGTTATCGAAGTGTTGATCGAAGCTGAGAGCCTTATTTCTTCAAAAGGCTTCATTGGAAGAGCTGAAGTAGCATTGACTCAAGGTCTAAGCCCACTTTTGACCTTTTTACGTATTCTTGATTGCGATTTTTTGAGAATGTGTTCCCTAGCCCAATTTAGGGTGTTAAGTGAACGGAGCAAGTTTTTTCTCTTTGAGCGAGCCAAAAAATGTATTTTTTCCTAGCAGTTCCAAAGTGCTCTGCAAATTATAGAAAAAAGTCCTTCGTAAACCTAAAACACCACAAAAGCTACAGGTTCTCAAATCAATCGAGTCATTCTCACCATCTAAAGGTAATAGAAAATATTCAGTTGCAAAACGATTAGAAAAAGAGTAGACTTGTTCTCATAAGAACGAGTAAGTTATGTGAACTCAATCAACTAAGTCTTAACCTCATTTGAAAAAGCTCGAAAAAGTCCACATGGACATATTAAACATATCAGATAGAGAGAACTGACGATGAAAACTCCTCCAAATGAAAGTAATTTTCAGCAAGTTTTTGATGATTATGTGCATCTGCATGATGCTTCTGCGC